TATAGCTACAGCATGGTTTACTCTACTAATGGGTATTATATTAACCTTTATACTTTATAATATCCTTGATGCTCATTACCATTTATTAACATTATGTACCTACATATTTGTAAGTTAGAAACATATATTGAACAAGATCATTTTTGTTACTAAAGAACAACACATTCACAAGTGTTGCACTGCTAAATATTTTCGTGACACTTTCTTTTATACTTACTTAGATGTTTTCAGTTTTTGGTTGTTAAATTTAATCATGTAATTTATCCGCATTCGATTTAACAATTTTATCAACTAAAAGTGAGGGAAACAAAAGCATGGCCGTCATTTGAATTCAATTTTACTTAGTAATTCATATAACTATTACAGTAACTTTCTAATTCTAGATATTATGTTTTTCGAAAACGGCACTTAACATTACTTAAATAAGAACTAAAACCACGCTCGCGCCAACCGCATGTATTGTCTATCAGACTTAATGAAGTGCGATAGCACAAGGTCGACCCACCCACTGCCGTTACCCCCTGTCATTACCTACGAGTACCCCCACTGTTGCTCTGCACAAGTACATTCGTGTCCCAACTGTAGGGCCTTCAAACTGTGATAGTAACCAAGCATAAATCGTTTTCTTCTAAAACTGTTTATTTTTTACTGTTCACAATGACATTAAGAATTATAATGCAGATAGTTTTAGATGATTTTCTACGGAATTGTAATGTAATTTTTATTAAATTCAGTGCATTTTATAGGTAGGTTGACTCGTTAACTTGTTATGCCTACTTAGCTCTCATAGTAATTTCTTTTTAACTTCATTATATTTACTTCAAAATCGTGCATACTTTTCAAATTTCCAAAAACAGCGTTTAATAGAGTTTAGTAAGAGGAAAGGGGAGGGGGTGACATGTCCCTAATAAAAAAATTCTATACCTTTAAACGAGCAATTCTTGTATATATATAATCGGAATTTCGGAAACGGCTCCAACGAGTTTCGGGGGCAATAAATCGATCTAGCTAGGATTTATTTTTAGAAAATGTATTTTTTGTCAGTGTTTTCGGGCAACGAAAAACTGCTATAATATAAGAAGGTTAATATTGACATTGTGTTAATGATCGTAATAAAGTAAAGTAAAGTAAAGTTACAGCCTATATACCTCCCACTGCTGGGCTCAGGCCTCCCTCATTTCTGAGAGGGTTTAGAGCAAGGAAGTGTCCGTCGCGCTACCCAAATGCGTGTTGACGAACTTCACATGTCTTCGAAATATTTTTTTCTTATTCCTCAGACATGCAGGTTTCCTCGCGATGTTTTCCTTCACCGCCGAGCACATGGTAAATCAGCACTTAAAATTGCAATTAACAATTTCATTGATGCCGGCGGGGATCGAACCCGGGTTACTCGCGTTCTGTTATATTTACAGCGAGCGTTAACCACTGAGCTACCACGGCTCTGATCGTAATAGCTCAATTGGATATCGAGCGGTCGCGAAATCATAATGCCTTGGTTCGCGTCCTGTCTTCGGTCCGATTTTTTTTCTTTTTTTCCCTTTTTTTGTGAGGAAATCTATTATTTCGAGCCCTTTTTTTTAGTATTTTTTAAAAATACTAAAATTTTAATTAAACTAATCGCACTCATGATTTTTTTATTCAAATAACCAGTTTAGTTTTTTCTATTATGCCAATAAGATCGAAAAATATTATTCATCAGTATGTAATTTGTATCTAAATGTAATTTAAAAAAAAACAGCAATGCTCGGTTATCCGGGTACTAAAATTTTAAATAATAATTACTTATATTTACGCAAATATATACATTGAATAAAGCTACTTTTAAAGGTACGAATTTGCCATAACACCGCGAAGAATCCCGTATGATCACATTTTCTTCATCATAATATATATTTATGTTGAGGATTGTCTGTGTAAAAATATTATTGATAATGAAGTTTAGTCTATGTCGGATTAAAATTTTAAAATACAGCAACTTCTTTCGGTTGGAAGTACATGTAGAAAATTCAAACCAGACCCTTCAACTAATACTCTTAAAACAACAGATGAAGAAGCGACCGTAGCGTAATGGCAGGGCGCGGACCGCGAACTAAAAAAAGTCGTGGGTTCGAATCCGCCATTCGACTACTGGCGTGAACCACTCGTAAGACAAGCAATTTAAGCTTACCACGAGTGGTTAAGTGGAGTATTAGTAATGTTTATAGCATTGTTAATATTTCTTAAAAAAAACTAGCGATCTAAAGAAATACTTCGAGAAGTTAAGCTTAGACGTTAAATTGAAAATACCTGCGTATGCCAAGCCACGGAAGTTGTATATTTTATATGTAGTTAGATTACCAAAAATACATAAACCGAATGCTCCATTACGTACAATAGTAAGATCGCTTCGCCAATTTACAGATGGGCTTAACACTTAGCTATTTTTTATAGAATTAGGGTGACAAACGAGCACTCAGTCCACCTGATGGTATGTAGATGATGTGGCTCATAGACGTCTACATTTATCCTCGATTGAGAATCAAAACGCAGATGCGTTGTCACCTCTTAAGACTAAGATGGAATGCCTCGTATCCAGTATAATAGGGTCTCCGGATCTCTACACTCACGCCGGTATTTTGTGAGAGCGTTGTCCCTCCCCCGGTCAAGCCAACCCATAGGTGCTGCAACCATAATATAGCTGCAGCGTGGCCCTACTACGTACTAATTAATAAAATTCTATCACCACTCAGAGGACACATAAGAGCACTCACTAAGAATTCATACCATTTTATCAGTGAGATACAAGGCCTACGTCTTAATGACAATGAAACCATGGTCAGATTTTATGTTCAGTGTCTATTTACATGTCTACCTGTTGAATATTGCATCTCAATTATAACAAGGAAACTATAGGAAAATAGTATGCCAGCAGAATATGCAGTACTGCTCAGACATCCACTAACATCTGACTATCTAGTATACAATCAAGTAGATGGTGTTGCGTTGGGCTCAAATATATGTCCCATTATTGCCAATATATTCATGGAGGACTTTGAGGAGAAGGTCCTCATTACTGCAACTGTAACTTCAAGCAACAATCGATACTTAGACGATACTTTTACAATTTTACCATCAGACAAAGTAACTGCATTTTTAGAACATCTTAATTCCATAAACTTTAAAATTAAATTTAGGAGTTAGAGGCAGATAATTCCCTAGCCTTCATAGATGTGTTAGTCATCTGAAATCCTAACAACACAATAGGGCAGGTGGCATACTATGTATAAAAAAGACCCATACGAACCAATATTTAAACGGTGAATCTCACCACCATCAATGATATGTAGCAAACTAATAACATTCAGTGCGATGCAGACGACAGCAATAGTTATGCCTTATACACCGGCGGTGCCAATATTTTTCGGGAAATCGTCGCTGAGTACCGGGACAAGCTTGTGTCTGAGGTCGAGTCTTTGCTTAACAAAGTCTTGGATTGGGGACGACTAAATCTAGTTGAATTCAATCCCCAGAAGATACAAGTTTGCGCGTTAACCGCTAAAAAGAACTTCTTTGTCGTATTTCCTCGAAGTTGTTTGAAGTCTCGTTTGAAGGCATTCCCCTTGCTGCCTCAGCTAGCATCAGAAACCTCGGCGTCGACATATCGAATAGTGTGCAGTTTCGCGGTCATTTTGAGGGGTAGGCTAAATTGGGCTCTCAAAAGCTTGGCGAGCTCAACATAGCGAGACAGTATTTTATGCCAGCACATCGCTTGCAACTTTACAAAGCGCAAGTTCATTCTCACATTGAATACTGTTTTCATCTCTGGGCCGGGGCACCCCGGTGCCAGCTCCTTCCACTTGACCGCATACAACACAGGATCTCGTAGACGACGGAGTTCTTTCTGATCGGCTCCCCCCCCCCCCTTACGAACCAAAAGCTGAATACATCAATGCTTTTTAGAGATGTTATGTGATATAAGTCACGAGACCGCAAAATATTTAAAAAAATGTAAAGTATAGAAGATTATCACAAAAATCCTGTCGTCTGTATGTGTGTAGCAATGATACAACTTATTGTGCTACAGAACGGATGGACTAAAGTCGGATCACACTTGCAGAGAATACCAGCATAAAATAGCAGCGTAATGCTGCTGTATTTTGTATGATGAAGTACCGTGGAGAACGTGGGACCCTTTTTACTTGTAACGAGTTACTCCATATTAGTCCTTAAGGGTTGTTATCGCTCAATCGAAGACAGATATAAGGTGTCTATGAGTTACAGAATCAACTTACCATCCGGTGGACTGTGTGCTCGTTGGTCAATCTTAATTCATTTTAAAAACCCACCTAAACTTTTAGTTAGGATAATTTTATAATTACCAACGGGTTTCACCGTAAGGGACTCATTTACGAAGCAAAATATTAATGTATATTATATATACATTTTCACAAGATTAGACACAAGAATTAAATAATCGGTCGCTAAGGAATATGTTAGGGCTGAATCTGAGTGACAGGGTGAGAAATTGTGTGATGATGCTGTGACCAGCATTAAGAAAGGAATGTTTCGGTGGTTTGGTCATGTAGAAAGAATGAATATGGAAAGTGTGACAAAGCAAATTTATGTTGCAGAAGTGAATGGAAGAGTTAGAAAGGGACATTCTAGGCGAAAGTTTATCGACCAAATTGGCGATCTACTGAAAATGGGCCAAATTAGGAGTACCTTTAACCAACGAGCATGTATGCGTAGGTATGTGAATCCGGAGGAGGCGAAAGAGGTGTGTCAGCATCGTGCTATCGTATATGTCTGTAATCTCTGCCTACCCCTCTGGATGACAGGCGTGAGTGTTTATGTTTTTATGTTATGTTAAATAGTCGAAAAGTTCATCATATACGATTCTTGGGACAAGGTAGGGTATGTTAATACAAATTATAATAATTTTAAAATATGCTCTTATATTATAATAATTGGAATGAACTCAGCATTTTATGAACAATAGTATCTGTAATCCACGGTTTGGTCTAGCAATAGGTGAGTAGTTCGTTAATGCTGCAAGGCTTGTCACAACATTCATTGACGACGCCCGGGTAACGTTTTCCTCGAGACGGGAGCGACATGCTTCTTGCCTTATTGGTAGACACCCAGGGTAATTCCAGTTGAGGCTCTTGATCTTTCAAGTGGTATGGCAATAATAATGGTCCTGTAAAATGAAAATAATTATAATCTACTTACAAGTTACTTAAGAAATATACTACCGTACATAGGTTTTTCCATTATATGGATGGTGGCCCAATAAAAATTTGCGTTGTTGTTTTGACGATAGCATAAACTGAGTACAAGTTACTTTAAAAATGTTCTGTTTTTTAATTACCATACTCATCATCATAACCTCTGAAGTCTACCGCCGGGCATAGGTTTTTCTATCGTAAAAATTCGGGCCCACCGAATGGGCGCTGTTATTTCGGCGAGAGCATATGCAGATTGAGGTCCGTTAGACTAACGCGCTGCCATACACATGACGAACGTATATTTGAGAGTTTTATATTTATTAAAAATGTTGTATAATATATCTGTCAATACAATACAATATAATACCCTTTATTGTACACTAAGAAAACAAATAACATAACAAGAAACAAACAGAGAGAAAAACAAAAGGCGGCCTTACTGCTATATAGCAATTTCTACCAGACAACCTAAACAGAAAATAAAAAAAAGTGATAAGTTAAATAAGTCAAGTTGTTGTTATGTCAAATATTTAATCTGTATAAATATAAATAATTATGTTTGTGGAGTGTTTTCAAAAAATGTTTCTTCCTTTCTCCCTAATGGATTCTCTTATCACCACTTGGCAAATAGATTGGCAATAGACCAGATCTCTCACACATTCATCACTGTTCCACGTCGCCAGTTTGGGTATTTTTAGTTTGGCGACAACCAAATGTACGAGTATATACCACCATCTATCGGAAGACATAAGGTTTTATTAACGTTTCCCAAAATCTCCTCTTAGGTTTTCCTTAAGGCGAAATAGAATTTTACTAATTTTACGCACCACATGACACACTGATCATATAGGACTCATAAAAATGGTGTGACTACCATAAGAATTACATTTTCTAGAAATGCACGCCTCCTGAAACATTCCTAGAAAAACTATCGAAGATTAGACTCCATAAGCTGAATGACGTATATGATTTTTTTATCAAATTGAAGTGACACACTTACATTTGATTTTCCTGGTATGAAGTATTTAGTCCTCAGGAGTGGCTACGCATCTCCATTTTGATTCTGTATACTTAGCATCAGGTGGACTGTGTGTTCATTGATTACCCTTAATTAATAAAAAAGCTCATCCGTGAAAAATTTCAAGCAAACAAAGACAATAGATGCATTTTCAACTCTGAGGACTAATGGAATGCCTTGCAGCCTGTAGTTATTTATAGCTCTTTATACGTTTTAGACCAAAACGCAGCTGCTTGGCGGTTTTATAATATAAGTTAAAAAAAATATTAACATAATAATGATGATTATCGTCATCGTAATTATTATTATATCAAATTATATCTACTTGAATCAGAGCAACAAGTAGAGAGATTCCAAATTAATAAAAAAACGTAGGTGGTTAAATAAAGTAGGTATAAAGTTGACTTATACATATAGCAGATGGTTCATGTACACCGGGAACCAAGAGTCTTGAAGATTTTCATTTGTTTTCAATATCAATACAGAAATGTAGTAAACATACAAAAATTATATTCATTTTCATATAATAGGTACGTAAACAAGATATCTATTAAAGACCGGGCGACGTTGCAGTTGCCGTGAGCATTTTGCGTACTGCGTCCATTAAAAAAGGCGATTCGGGCTGCATAGATTGCTTTTTACTGACAGTCGTAGCTGTGACAAATGAGTGCACGTGTGATCAATGGAGAGCTCCGACAAAGCACTATTGGAATTTAATATCTCGTTTCGACCGAAAGGTTAATTGACGGATTCAACTCGGCTGGGCAACGATCGAGATATGACAAATCTCGTCAGACATACCTCAAAACCAAAAAACAAAGTTTAACAACCAGTGCGTGTTGCCAGTGATGACCTATAGATTTGAGACGTGGTCCTTCACTGATGTCCGTATGAGGAAGCTGAAGGTCGCTCAGAGAACTATAAAGAGGGTTATTCTCGGGGTTTCTATGCGTGATAGACTTAAAAACGAGGATATTCGCAGTAGAACCAGAGTAACCGACAGAGCGCTACGGATTACAGAAATGGCAATGTCACGGCCACTCAACTCGAAGAACCGATAACGAGAGCTAAAGAAAGGTTCTCGAGGGGCAACCTCGTACCGGCAGGCGAAGTATAGGGCATTCCCCCACTAGATAGAGTGATACCTGGTAAGACATGCAAGAAGCCAATGGATGCAGGTGGCTCGGGACCGTAATTTGTGGCATTCCTTGGGGGAGGCCTATATAAAAATTGGTGTCGTAAATGATATATCTTTGGATTGATGATGACCATTTATCATAGTATCACCTATTATTTTAAACTTGAGTAAGGCGTCCGTTTGTTACAGGTATAAAACCATAAAAAAACTTACCAAACATGGTTCCCTTTTGTTCACGGATTTCGGATCGTTTATCATAACCACCCTCATCAAAGCAAAGGAGAGCTAAAGCCCTTGCCAAGGTTCTGCCACAGTAGACCTGAGGGTTTAGGTCCTGGTAAGAAATCCCACCACCAATATGTGCACAGCACATTGAAACTATCGCCACAAAAGTCATGCATGCTAGGGTTTTTTGAAATTTCATCTGAAAAAGACAGATATAGTCCAGTACGAGTAGTGATAAGCAAAGCTAGACCAAGACCAAGACAATCTTGGTATTGTCTTGGTCTTGGCCTTGCTTATTCATTCGGTTACTTACTACTTACGTCGTTTTAAAAATCTTTCAACGCTTTTATAGGTATAAATTATAAATGATCAATAATTAATATATGTAATGAAATTAACTTTATTTTAAATAATTAAAAAAATATCGTATTTTATTTTAATATATATTTAATAATGATATATTATTATCATACAATATATTATAATATTTTATATTTATTTTTTGTAAAATCAGTGGGGTAAACCGGAAATATTAAACACATAATTTTTTTTTCGATAAAAAAAACATATGTTGAAATTATGACAAATATTCTCATATACCCTATTTACAACGGAAGTTATAATTTTTAGTTTAATCTAGCACTTTGGTCTTGCATTCTCAGTCTTGTTCTTGTACATTTTGTCTTAGTATTGCTAGTGTATATATAATCTCGGTCTAGGTCTTGCAAAATCGCAAAACCAAGACCAAGACTGCAAGACAAAGACCGATTTTGCTCATAACTAAATACGAGTGGGGCACGCGCTTTTTAATATTGCATCATATATAATAATACTTAATTCTTATTGTTTCTCAACTGTTTCATCGCATTTTATATTTCGCTACCAAATACCAAACAAAATTACAATAGAAAGTTTTCAAAATATCTAAACCGTATTACTTACAATGTTACTTTATATGATTCCTCGACGTATCCTCTGACTTGAATGTGAAGTAAGGTGTGATATTTTCCATTATATACCCTTTTCCATATATGCCCTTATTAATATTTAACACCATGTCAAGTTAGGGTGGAAGCACTTGTTAAACGAGATATGAAACTTAAGGTCGAGTTAGTTTGAAAATTGAATAAATTATTTCAGTTACTTACTGATTTTAATTTATTTTCAAAGTCATCTTAAGAAAATATATCTAGCAACTTAAAGTCCAACTAAAAACTTAATCTGTGCTGGTATATCAGTCTTTGTGTTAATTATTGGTTTTCCGGCCAGCGTCATGTTGACGTCACCACGGTCAACTTTATATCCACATTTATATCCCTATTAAATACCAAATTTTGGTATGCCATCCACTTCCCAGGAGATGAAATTAAATTTAATCAAAGGAAAGGAAATAAAATAAAAGATAATATAATTAAAGTAAATCAAATGAAACTTTGTACATTGCCTCAAGAAGGTTGGCTGGTTCAAGATAGAGTGACCTGATGAGACGTACAGAAAGTCCTCGACTGTATTGCAGGTGGCTCAGGACTGCACTTTATAGCATTCCTTGCGGGAGGTCAATCAACAATTAACTTTTAAAGGGCTGTACTTTTAAGGGGATGATGAAGTAAAAAACCAGCCCACAGTGATTCATGGCTTCAACACGGATTGATCGATTTGACCGGAAAAGAACCGCGATCTGATAATAAAAATAATGTCAGACCTATTTTTGGTCACGGCTGTCTGTCTCAACGAAGACTAACCATCTGCGTAGGACAGGATCACAGAGTGTGTGTGCACGGCCAGGTGTACTCTCTATTACCTCGATCTCAGAGTCTAATAGGACGGCAATCCGACATGAACGGAGAGACATCAGACGCAGTACCGACAACTTTACAAGCTCTCCGAAGAACTGGCGTGAAACTTCCGACTCCGGACTGCTACTGCAAATTTCCTGTTAGAAAAACGCAATAACTGTTAATGGCCCTGGAAATCGAACTTTGCTCCACGTGATCAGCAGTCACGCTAACGATCACTAGATCAACGAGGCAGTATCGTAAAACCGCCATCCCATAGAATACTAGCGTGTTGTATACCCCCTTAGGTAATATTTCTTTGAAATGTAATTTCTGTCCAATTAATGTCTTTTCGCTGTGGCCCAATCACCAGTCTGTGGAATTTGGATTTAGCTTTTTAGCCTTATTTTATGGTAGCCAATTAGATCTTTCAATTATCTAGACTAGGTGGGCTAGGTAACTGAATATTTATTATCCGTCCATCTATATGGTGGCATATCAAAAATCCACTACCGAACAAAGGCCTCCTTCATGGATTAACTCATAAGAGGTGTTGTTGCCATTATTATGGTAGGCCGACACAGAAATGCTTTCACAGAATACCGTGGTGAAATAGAAGCTATATGCTGCTGTGTTTCGTATGGTGAATGCAGAGAGCCAAGGACGCTTTTCCCTCGTAATGAAACATTCCAATTAAGTCTTCGGGGGAGACAACACATCTGCATTTTGATTCTTAACTGAGAATGTATTTGATTAAAACTACTTTTACGGATTTTATGAAAATTTACTTTTATTTTTACCCGACGTTTCGGGCGCTTTCCAGCACCCATGGTCACGGGGGACTCCATGGGTGCTGGAAAGCGCCCGAAACGTCGGGAATTAAAAATAAAAGTAAATAAAAAGTGAAAATAAACGCGATAAAATCCGTAAAAATAGTTTTAATCATGTATAGTGTTCGCGTAAATATAAGAAATCATTATGAGAATGTAGTTGTCTATGGGCCATAAAATCTTCTTAACATGAGCTAGACTGTGTGCTCGTTTGTGTTTTTTTTATAGAATAGGGTGACAAAAGAGCACACAGTCCACCTGATGGTAAGTGGTTGCTGCGGCCCATAGACATCAACATCTATCCTCGATTACGAATCAAAATGCAGATGCGTTGTCACCCGTGAGGACTAAGATGGAATGCCTCGTTTCCAGTAAAAAGGGTCTCCGGTTCTCTACACTCACCATACGAAATACAGCAGCATTAAGCTACTATTTCACGCTGCTATTCTGTGAAAGCATGGTCCTTCCCCGGTCGAGCCGACCCATTCGTGCTACAACTATACTACTAATATAACTGCAGCATGGCTCTACCACGTATAACTTCACCTAATTCTATAAAAATTAATTATATACATGCAGCGTGACTCTAGCAAGTATAAAACGGTATACAAAAGAGTAGCCAACAAGAGAAGGCAAACAGAACGGAATTATCTCATTTCAATTCCTTCTAACGTCTTGTTTCCGCGCGAGTTTCACTTAACGCAGCGGACGCCTTTATAACTGTAGTACCTTCTAAGGTGTACTACCTTGTTGTACTAATAACAAGCTTCGTTTGTGAGATACAGATAAGGTTGATGTTTGAAATAAGTTTTTTTTTTTATACACGTACAAATTCTATTCAACTGACTGTGAGTGGATACTGCTGCCTATAAACAATTTAATCGATCCTCGACTAAGAATCACAACTCAGGTACATCGTCATTCATGAGAACTAAGTTAGAACGTCTCGTTACCAGAAAAAGAGTATCTGGCACGTACTATATTACACGTACTATACAAAGCACTACATTATTCTAGATCTTTGCTACTTTGCCCTTACATCATTAATTATTTGGAAACATCGCCTGAAATTTCCCGATCGCCCTCTAAAGGCTTAACATGGTAGCAGGAGTTCATAATTGTTATTACTTCAATTACACGACATGACTTCAACTGAGGTTTGTCATGTTTAATGTCTCGCTTCGGTTCATTTTATTTGACGTCTTAACTGCGATTATATTGAGGCCGCGTCGGAGCTGACAACGTCTTAAAGAAATAGGGTTCGAAAATTAATGCAGGCCTTGTATTTCCCTCCCCTGTCGATTGTTTCACGGTTAATATTTAATTAGTTATTAATAATTACATAATTAAGTTTCCCAGTTGACACCAAGCGAGACAATAATGGCAAATTTCCAAAAAAATACTGTGTAAGAAAACATTTTTTTATTAATGAAACTAAAAACATAATATTAAAAACAATTACATAAGAAGATGCTGCTGTCATTATCCTGATTCAGTTTCTTTCTATCGCCTCATACAAGACGCACGGCCATTGAAGTAATATGTACTCGTAGTTCTTAATAGCTCAATGCCCGCGCCAGGACATGGGTAACACCACATGGGGGGCTACTTAGTTAGTTTTATCGTGTAGCTTAAACTATTTCATCATTCATCGTCGGGAAGCGTTGAAAGTGGAAGTGCTATCAGTTGCCCGAAAACGTAATACTTGCAAATAATGACACATGTATAATCAACACGATTTCTCATATTATCTAAGTAGCTGTTGATTAAAACTACTTTTACGGATTTTATCGCGTTTTATTTATATTAATTTTAATACCCGACGTTTCGGGTGCTTTCCAGCACCCATGGTCACGGGGGACTAGAATATGATCGCAAAGTCCGGGAAGTCTGTAGTTTGCGATCATATTCTAAATGGCCCCAACCATTACATCAGATTATATAGACCACAAATCCTCACGAAAGAACATCGATTCCTACCAAGGATGATACGTGAGGCTATTGAAATTAAAAAACATCCTAATTTCAATAGAGAAGGAGGCTGCTTGGTACTACCACCTGCTTGGGATCCTATAATTAATAAAATTAAAACTAAACCCAAGCATACCACTGCAAAACTTCAAAATACAGTTACTTCATTCTGCGTAGATCGGACCAAAAACAATAATTAAAAAGCTGAAGGTACTCCGGGTTAACTTTGACATCGGGACGTCAGTCACCTCAGTTCCCCGTGACCATGGGTGCTGGAAAGCACCCTAAACGTCAGGTATTAAAGTTAATATAAATAAAACGCGATAAAATCCGTAAAAGTAGTTTTAATCAATGTATAGTGTTCGCGTAAATATAAGAAATCATTAAGTAGCTGTTGTTATCTTAAGGCAACTTCGCCTCCTCACCGCTGCATTAGTGCTATATATTCAACTCTGTTGCACTTATATTATACTTTGCTACCGACATCCTACGTATTTATTATGTTATACCTGAGAAGTATGACATTACAACGTACGTCGCCTAGTGACTTCTGTCCAGACAGCAACATGCCGGAATCAGTTGAAAAATTATTGATA